CACCCTATGGGACAAGAAAAGCATCTGCTTGTAACTAATACCCATAATAAAACTTTGACTTTGAAATAACTTGACCACTTGTTCTATTACTTCCTCATTTAAAGTGATGAACAGCAGACGGAGATACCCTCATAGTCACGAGAACATGCTGTTCGGTGATGGAAACCGGTAATCTAAGCCCCGGGACTTGGTGTGGCGAACCACATTACGTCCCGATAGATTAGGCGTGGCATTGAACAGGACGATAGCAGAGCTGTCTACCACCAAAGTCGGGTGGCGGTGACGCGGCTCGAACCTCGGACCACAGGAGCCAAAGCACGCCGGTGACAGCGACTAAAGCAATGCGCCATTACCACCGGGTGCTGGATCAACCCAATCTTCTAGCAGCATTTTACAGTTGAACGCGCAAAACGCATAGCGAACTAACTATGCTGGCACTAAAGCTATCCAGAAAAGCTTGCAACTTACCTGGAGTTCCGAGGGTTAAAACCCGGACGGCGATTATGCGCTACTGGCGAGATTCAACAAGTTTGAAACTGCAGTGCGCTTCACTGATGAAACTGTTGATCGTGTGTGGAAAAGTGTATGACTCGGTGAAAATCACTGTCTAACTTGGCTATATACTCAATCAAATCCTGTGTATTGTTCAAACTAAACCAATAACAGCTGTCACTAAATATAAACTGTACTTCAGGGAATCAAAAACTTAAATCGTTCGGTTATGAGCAACAAAATGGTAAATCCGATTACTTTGATTTTATATAAGAGAAAAAAAGGAACTTCATTTAAAGAAAAAAAACAAGCAATGTCACGTGATAATTTTGTGCCTAATGGTTGGATATTTTGAGTCTAAATGATAGATATCAAGCCGATTAGAGTAGAACACAAATATGAACAAAATAAATAAAAACCATCGAACATGGACAATCTGAAGAGCTAAATTAAACGACTAAGTCTCCTAATGAAGGTCAGAAACAGTCACTAAGGTGCTATATGGTCAGGTCATCTAAAAAGAAAATACATGGAAATTACTTCGGAGGATTGTCGATCCCGAGCTTTTACCATGCATTTTCGTACCCTGTATCCCTGTATTGTAATATCCACACTCTACAAATGGATATGTTTAAGTTGTCCGGGCACGTGCGCACACACACACACACACGTGTTATCGTTCTGCGGAAAGCTTGAAATGCATACCGGTCACACAGACATAAATCAGAAATTAATTTCGGATGAGGTATTGCAGTAACTGTGTTAAATCAACTCACTGACCTGGTATGAGAATAGCAACTGAACGCAACGGAGTAAAGGCGACAGTAGAAAGCAACATTACAAGAGTACAACTAATCGGCCATTCGCAGCAGAAAGCTAGTTTGTTGCATCTACTTCGCATCTTATGTTATAAATATCACTAACGAGAAAAACAAGTTGCGCATCAAACAGCTGAAAGCCCGGACAGTACAATAAAGGACTAACGACTGGTGACAGTGTTCTGGAATGAAGTGACAAATTAACATAAGGGCAGTGCTACCTCACCGAAAGGAGACATCTCGTCAGCTGCTAAACACGAATGGGATAAGTGACACCGAAATTAACCCACAAAAGCGAACCACTTTATGCAGGTAAAAAAGAGATTAGAAACGAAGAGAGTCTCATTTTGCAGTGGTCTATTTCGCCTCTTAACATAGAGAAAGCTGTGTAGGTCGAACGTAGAGGCGTATATCAGACCGTTTGAAACAGTATCATCCTTTCTGATCGAAATGATGGAAGTTACCTGCTACCCGACTGAGTACAACCACAAATACAATATGAATAATGCCTTTCATCATCTATAGGACTAAGTGAAGGCTATCAAAGAGCTGAAACCCCGAATACCATATCAAAGAATGTCTCCACAACTCATCATCATTTTCTTCAGCGCGCAGAAACGGTTCGCAAGAGCACCAAACTTTTCATTGTCATCCATTTATCATCTGGTGACGTATGTTTCAATAACTCTCATTCATTGACCAAGATTAAAATTTTATTGTATTATGCTATCTACTGCAAAGGAAGCCAATTGTCCCGAGCCCATCACTGTCTACTACTCGTTGATTATCTAGGAATGTGTGGAATTGTCAGCTAAACCGGATTTGCTTGTAGAACACCGAGGATTCTGAAAAGTTAATAAGCAACTTATGCTTCCTGTGATGGTATACTATTTGGACCGTTTATACCCTACTCCGTTGGATAAGTCGTAGGCTTGGCCAATAGTAAACAGTGGGTGGACGAGGAAGGAAGTTTGAAGCCTCAATGAAGCTTCATGTTTCAAGGAACTCTTCTTGCGCTGCAGACGAACGTGTCAATGCTGACATTTCGAGGTCCGCTGGTCCGTTTACATAATGCGCCCGCAACCAATATTCAACCACCAAACTGGATTATGATAAGTTTAAGTCTGCGAAATCCTACTCACAGAATAATCTATTGAGAGCCGCCGAGTAACCTGCAGGCGCTACATGATTTAGATAACAGGAATTTTGCATGTGAGTAATTGAAGTTTGCTCACTAAATTAACTCTGGTGTTCTCCCTCATTATAAAGAAATTTTTGCGCTTCAAAAGACAATAAGGTTACTATGCCTCTTGATATGGGAAGACGGCCCTCAGAGTGTGCACTTCTTGGAATTCTCTACCACCACACGTTGTTTCTGTGCCCACAATTGATTCCTCCAAGCGGAAACTGGATGAAGCTTTCACAAGTCTTAAATTCCAACATCCTTGGCAGTGCAAGAAACAAGGATAAATTGGGACATTCGTCTACTGTCTATGAACCGCGAATCGATTCATCTGTGCTAAACCCTATGGGCTTAGAAAAGCAACCACTTGTATTTCCCATAAAACTTTCGCAGTCGAAACGTAAATCACTCAACTAGTATTTTTATGAAACTTGGTGCATACAGGCCATGGACAGTACCGATTAACTAACATGCTTGAAGTTCAATTGGAAGAGTACAAAGGATGGTACACGCGGATGTTTCATCGGTGTTACCACTTTGAACTTACGTTGCACATGTTTGAGGGTTTACGCTTTTGGTTGGAGATCTTGGCTCGAGTTTTCAGGGCAAAATCCCAAAGACATCCGAAGTCCCGGTTCACGATACCTTAATATATCATTCGTATTATCATCATTGTATTGTCTTCACCCTAGATTAGGCGAATCCAAGACCCTCAGTAATAAAATCAAAGGTGGTTTGCATTGACTATGCCCTTGATCAATGTTTCCATATCATTCAAACAGTCCAGTATAGTTAAAGCTGAGCCTCTCGCGGATAAGTACCAAGAGAGTGGTAGTTTATAGACTTCAGGGTAGTGCTCAAGGGAATTCAACTCAACCGAAAAAAATGTGATACAATAATCATTCATTTAATGCCTTCAGTAGACGCACTAAAAGACAGTTCGGATGGATACAAGCACACACATACCTCGACTTTTAATGCTACACTGGTCGTGTGCATTTTGCTCAGCAACGCGGGCATAAGATCTTCGCCACCATTGGTAAGGATTAACTCCTCCAGAATGAGTAACGCACTTCGTCGCAATTCGCTTCGAATGGTGACTGCGGTGCGCATGGACAGGATACGATTGATTAGGCACTCGGCTGCCCCAAGGCGTACGCATAAATCCGCATTGGCCACGCTGCCGGTGACACTATATCGCAGAAAGTCCAAAATTAGTTGACCGACCTCGGACGCGATCGGATGGGCTGTGAAATAGTTGCGGCAGAGAAAAGTAACCTCAGTTGGACGCGGTGCGCAAAGCGACTGCACCCAGTGTAGTACGTACATTAGATGAATCGGGGCAACAGCAAAATGTTACTCAATGCGTTTGGGAAACGCATACGCAGACACTTCAGTAGTTTTCATCAGACGAATCCGAATTCTAAGCCGTTCAATGACTCTACACAGTTAAGATGCTTACCTACAAATGTATCGAGAGGAAAAACAGTGCAGACTGATCAGCCAGATCAATTACTTATACTAGCACTGTTCAAACAGAATAATTGGGTACGCGACTGATATCTATGAGTCTAAATAGTTTACGAAAGAATTGGATTGGCTGCATTTCAACTGTAAACCGATATTACGGCACGGAGCGAAATGATGATGGTACACACGGTCAACGATGACATAGATGTACAATATATCAGTCACATCACCCGCATATATATTAAATCTTCCATACGAAACCAGCTACCTTTACAATTATTAACCATGCACTTTTATGCGCCGGTTTTGGTTGTCAGGCCGAACTGCCAAGGTTTGATATCTAACCACAATTGTGCATGGAAGCAGATCATAGACGACCTCGAAAAAGGTGAGATTTATGTTGTCGCAGAAAAGAAAATCGAAATTCTCAAGGAAAGTTGAATATCAGCAGCAGGAATAGTGGATAGCAATGCAGCACAGATTGGATCAAATAAAGTAGCGATTCCGGTGAGATAACGCACTAGGTTGGGGGAGACCAGATGATGAACGGCCCTCTTGTTTTGTCCGTTCTATGTTTTCTGCTTCGTCCAAATTGTCGGCAAAGCGATGCAACAGCTCCACACCTAGTTCGAGCAAACCCACGTCGTGGAACACTTCTTTGAATGTTCGATGCTCGCGAACCAGTCGAATGAGATGCCGCAAAGCGACGGCAACACATGGCGTAAGGCTGAAAGTGAGAGGCAGATTTGGGAATGACAAAAGAGTGGTTATGAAAGCCATAAGCAAAGCAGATGACAAGCTGAACATAGACTCGGTTTGCTGTGTCAGTGATAGAAAAGAACCCTTTGTCAAAGTGGGTCATAAACGTGGATTAACGCTAAGGCCAGAGTGCACGGTTGTTATTAATTTTGTACAACAGGAATGAGAAAGCCCTGCAAACCGTCGGGGCCCGAGTTCAGTTAATTGGATCACACGCCGTTTGAATGGAGTCAAACATCCAAGATATCCAATACATCTCAATGCCCCATCTAGCCGGTGGCTCCTGCCAGAAACAGCAGGCTGAGTGGTTCTTAGGCCTCTTGTTCGTTGGTTTTAGCCAAAGCTCCTTGGTGGGCTCAGTGGTTCCCCAACCCGGTTATGGCACCAGGTGTTGGCTTTTCGTTCGTCACTTTGAAGGGAAAACACTGCCATCGAAAAGCAACGTGAGGCCATCTGGTACGATTCATCGCATACTAGTTGGTGGGGAAGGTGATCAAATACAACACACATTGCAGCCCAAACATACCGAGGCTTTCACTCTATTCTATAAGTTGATCAAGTTCATTACTGAAACCTTAGAGTCGCGCAGGAACTGCCGGACGAAACAAACTCAGACCAATCGCGAACACAAGTTACCTAAATTGGTCCATTTAAAACCACTTACCGACAAAAATCGAGGACCTGACTAACCCTTGATTATCTGAAAATGCTGCCCAGAAGTTACTCTACAAATTCTACAAAATGGTGCATTGCTTCAGTAAGTAAAACAGATTATTTCAATTATCTCACAAGGCATCACAAACATCAAAAAATCAAAGCATAATGATTCGTTTGACATGAGATAGAACGCGACTTACTGACAAGTTTTTAGCAACACCACGATGCTGCTGATTTCTTTCATTGGGACGTAATGAAGCTTGTTGACCAACACTTCCAGCAAATTGAAAAACGCATCCTGTATACAGGAAACATCAATGAGAAATGTAATCCCGATTGAAACGTCCAATAATATTGAGCAACAAAAAGACAAGGAAGTTAAGAATTTGATAGGGTTTTTAAAAAGTGATGACGGGAGACCAATGATATATGAAACTGAATTGCTACCGCAAATCTACTAGCCATCCAAGTGTGTGATTTCGAAGATATCTAAGATAACAGCTTAACGTGTTGAAAAACGTTCGGACAAGAAGCTTGCAAATCCGATAAACACGGACCGGGTGACGAGTATGTTTGTGATAACTTGATCCTAAGCTTGTTGTTTATTTTCCAACTTGTCCCTATCTATATGAGAATATTGGTAGCGGCGCATCAGCTACATTGTCGAAAGTAGTCTTTGTGTAGTAGACTAACGGACATCACGGTGTATACAGTGTCTGAATTTAGAGATCCAACAATCACATACCGAAAGTGCTTGATAGGATTAATCTCCTTGGATCACGACACTTGGAACTAATTAGTAATCGCAAGTCAGTCCATAGTCAAAGTACACATACCTTGTATCTAAACGATTGTAAATTGATCGGAAGACAAGTGAGCAGACACTTTGCTTGCCATGAATAGTTTCAAAGGAAATCAGTGTCCCAATGAATGGAAATCAGTGGTGCCGTATCACAACGGTCAATGGTATAATTATTATTATTAAGTTATTTTATTTTTAAATAATTCGTTCGTCCGGTGCAAAACTGGTTCTCCTCTCTTCGTCATCATTATTGCCACCGTCATTCTCATCATCACCATTATCATCTACGCTGCATTCCTCGAGTCTGGTATGACAAGCGGACAAGTAATGCCCAGGTTAGGCACAGAGTTTCAGGTAATCGATGTTGTGAATTGGAACAAGTGCTCGATCTGTATATATTGATATGGCTGAGACGTGCGCTACACATATCATCACACGAACTTCCTCGAAATAAAACGATTTCCCAATTAGATAGTAGGTGAAAAAGCTCAATGGTGTTCACAACAAGAATGGGTGCGAGGGTTGTAAACAGGACATTCGGTCCCATAGGTCGTGTTAGGCTTCCCCGTTGGGGACCTCGGGGTCACCGAGACCGCTGATTACAGGCACTGGGTGACATGGCTAAGCGTCGTGAATAGTGATGTTCCTGCATCTGCCTACCGTTTTCGCAAACTGGGTGGTTGGTGGTAGACAGCCCACCCGACTGTCGTTCGTTTAGCTGCCACATCTTACCTATTTAGGACTTATTTCAAAAGTAAAAAATCAAATGAATAACCGCTCTCTCTCTCTCTATAAGCGCACTCATTCACCCACTCACAGAAATCAGATCACATTCTTATTGTCCCCAATTAACATTATTGGCTTGAATCGAAATGTTGATTGGGTATACCACTTTCCTCCGTCTTATTCCCTATGACGTTATTTTGACCAAAAAAACAGATCTTTAGTCGGTCAGACACTACTCATCGTGAAACCCCCAAAATAACTTTTTTCGTTGTACTGTTTTCAAAACCGTTATAGATGTCCATATTCATTATTGTCGTTTCGTCAAGACTTTGACATCCTGATTTCTCGAACCGTGAATAAAGCTTGATGTGGCTGAAAATTCGGTTCCCTTCTTTTGAGCATTACTTTTGAAACATCTGAACCCACGCTAACCGTAACGGTTCTTCAATCTTTTACATTTTTTCTTTCAACACTGGGACATTAATTGTCGTAAACCAAACAGACAAATTACAATTGTCAGAGATTTCAGTGTCCACTCTCCAGACACTTCGATCATGGGACACGAACGCAACAATCTGAGCCAACTAGCTGACCACCCCCAAACACAGTGATAACCGCCCTCAACCTCGACCTTATCAGTAAATAAATCCCCTCATCATTCTCTAATATCACTTCCCTCTCTTTACTCGACTCACCAGACGATTTCCTATTTTTACTCAATTTTTTCAACCCGATCCACTACCTGTTGGAAACCGGTAGCGATTGTTGCCATTCCAAAATCCTCTAATTCAGCTGTTTTCACGAGACGCTTCCGTTCTATAGCTTAAACTTCTGTTGGTCTTAAAATAGCAGAGCTTGTTGTCCTCACACGCATGCATTCCTCTCTTGATATCTCCTACAACCCTATTCAGTTCGTCGACAAACCAGAAAGATACACGTTAGATGCGGTATTATCATTTGTGCATAGAATTACCAAATCATTAGATGACTGTAAAATCTGGAAAGTGTGTTTCTGGACTACTCATCTGCATCTGACTCTATTTCTCGCTCACTTTTTAGTAAGCTGAAGGCCTGCAGTCGTACCAGACAGTAATTAGCTTGGCATGTCGATCACGTCACTGGGAGAAGTCAATGCACCAGGCTAGGCTGAAGGAAGTCAAAAACATTGAAGAACAACTCCAGAGTACTCCAAGGTGTGGTGCTTTCTCCATACTTATTTTCTACGTAGCAACTTGTCTGCTAATTTTTTCTTTGAATACGACGCCGATGTGGTTTTATGTCGGGCCATCTCCGGTTCGTCTGGTCTTCCACAATTTCCTGACAACTCTGGAAACGTTCAACAATTTTCCGCCACATCCCGCTTCTCTCTTAATCCCTCCAAATGTTTCGCAATTCTCTTTAAGTTATCCCGTTCCTCTATCCCATCGGAACCAGTATCAATAGGCCCTGACCCAGTATCTGGGATAAGCTGTATCAAATACCTGAGGGTTTTATCGATGATAATATTCATTGGACCTCTCACACTCAACATAGTCACTAAAATCCGACGACTTTCCTTCCATATTCGTAAACTTAGTCTGTTTAGAATTCAACAATCGATTATCTCCAAATTCACTTACCAGTGTTTGACTGTGTTGTTCGCCTTTTATTTTGTCTATTGTCCTCAAGAAAGACCAAACTGCTTCGACGTGGAAGGACCATCATTTGTCGTCTCTTCAATCCCGCTGGAAGGGTTGATAACTAAACTGTGCAAACGTCACTTGAGTGAGTGAGAAGTTTTACTACGGACCCAATACATCCGCTGCAAACAGTAACTCTACGGTACCCTCTTTATCACGTGTTTTAGTTAAGAAATAACACGTTTCCGCAGACTTTGTTGAAAGTTTTGGGACTTAACTTCTTTTCCTCCCTCTCTCTAATGTGTACACTTTTGACTAAAATGTATTACTTACGCCTACAGCAGTTATAATTACAATACCTAAATCCTGACATCCATTTCGGCATTGCGACTTTCCGGCCACTATTCTCCTGATGTGATTGGTGCTTCAAAACTGATCTTGCCGCTTCGCTTGCTCACCATACAGAAGACTAATGAAAGTTTCATTCGCCACAAGTCCGAGTGCTTCGCTTCGTCCACACTGGTGACCGAACCTTCTGGTCCCTCACTAAAGCGGTTTACGGTAATTTCTGCCCTTTCAACTTTCCTCCTAGTTGCGATTCCCCGGACTTTCTGGTCTGTGAACCCCATGAAAAAGCAAAGGTCTTCTGTCCCTGGTTTGCCTCCAACTCCACCTTATTTAACAACTCCGTCCTTCAGCCTTCATCCCATTCATCAAGACGCTCGTTTCAACTTCACATATCAACCAAAAAGATCCGCCAAACTCTTCGTGGTTTGGATGTTTGCAAACCACCTAATCCGAACCGTATACCACCTGTTCGCTTTGTAGTTAGCCCCTATTCTACCCATTTTCTCTGCTCAACTCTAAGCTATGCAGCTTTCTCCAACCCCTGGAAAAAATACCATCCTAAAGCGTGGAAACCTTTCCAATCAAAATAACCATCGTCCCATCAGCCTCATTTTTGGAATTATGGAAATTTTCGAAACCCTTATCTCCGTCCAGTTGCGTGCCTTTCTTGAATGCGAAGGTTTGCTGAAAGACCGTCAATACGGGCATCCCCTTTTTTGTTCTAGGAGAGACCTACCGGCTTTCATTACGCATTGTTGGTCAACTGCACTCAACAACCACGAGGAAACCCAATGGTTCTCGATCGACATTTCGAAGGCATTCCATTACGGTTTGCGCGAAGGGGTGCAGTTGAAATTACCTATATTCGTTCATCCCCCCCCCCCCGGACTCGTGTATCGGGGCTGCAACGTTTCGGAAGGAAGCGAATGATATACGTCTGATTCGATGGGGTCCCATTTTGGTCGTTCCTTGTGAACGCCGGTTTATTCTAAGATTCCATACTTGTGTCCAACCTCTTTCTCCCGTTTATTAAAGATCTTTTGTCCGCAATCTCCAGTCTCCTTCATTGTTTAGCCTACGCTGTCACTCTCCATTATACTCCTTCTCGCCGTACGATCCACCTGGCTACTACCTGTATTGGTCTTGATCGAAACATCTATTTTTATTTTTTCTATTTAACTTTGTTATACATTTGATTATGGAAACAGCCCTATCCCCCTGCGAGGATAGTGGTATCGACTTACCACCAGGCGGCAGACTGTCTGATCTAGAGTATGCAAACGATATTGTGCTACTAAGTGAAGATACAGGTAAGTTACAAGCATTTCTGTAAAGTTTGAGTTCTAGTGTATCTAGGTTGCAACAAGATTGGGTTGGTCGAGCCCCCAACCTCACCCTAACTGGGGAAAGTTGTAGAAGCAGCTATATCTCACCTGGCGGACGCAGTACAATTGAAGTGTTCGCGCGCATACATAAGGCTAGGTTGGCATTTGCCAACTTGCGACATCTGTGGCGCCGTCGCAACATTCGGCTGTCTGTGAAGGGTCGAGTTTATGCTGCAGCAGTTCGGCGAGTGCTGCTTCACGGTGCAGAGACTTGACCACTACGGGAACAGGATAAAAACGGATCGTCGGTGTTGGAACACCGCTGTCTAGGTCGCATTGTACGAGTCTGATGGGGAAACCCGACGAGTAATGCTGAGGTTAGGTGTGCAGTTTTAGGGGATTGTAGTCGTCCACAGGAGCCATTAGTTAATCTCTACATAATAAATTGGTTGGGACGTGTTACGCATGTCACCAAATAGGTTGCCACGGCGAACGATGTTTGCCGAGGCAAGTGGTGGGTGGAATAAAGCCAAGGGGGGTCAAGACCTGGTATGACGGTATGAAAACCCTAACCAAGAGATTGGGTCACATAGGTCCCGTCAGGCTCCCTGCCTGGGGACCTCGAGATGGTCTTAACCGATGGTTAGAGACATTGAGCGATATGGCTGGGTGTCGTTAACAGTGGCGTTCGTGCATCTTGTAAATTTCTTTGTAACATTAGTCCACTGAACCTCTCAATTTTCTCTTCGATCCTACTTTCAACCTTCCTGTTTTCTTCCCAATATTCACCCAAATGGGCAGGCCAAAAGACAGCAACCAAAAGCGTCGCACCGAAATGCATGCTTAATCGTTGTTTAAACTGAAACTCTTCTGAGGAACACTTGTATCTGATCTCGGACCTAACTAGAAATGGACGTCTACCAACCATGTTTCTCCTTTCGAGCTCTCTTAAAATTGCTATTCTCCCCACTGGCCTCCTCTTCGTTCCGCAAAACTCCTTTACTCCTGGTTTTATCCATAAACATTTCTGCCTTTTAGTCTTCCTTTATAATCACACTGGCCACTCGTGTAGAACGCAAAACTCGGTTTCCCATACCACGCCAGATGCTTCTTTACACTCAACAACCTGTTCAACAAAGCTCAAATCCGTCCGATGCTTGAACGTGGTAGTCATGTGCGAGTCCATTCGGATGACCGACGAACCGTTTTTAATATCAAATCTGCACTCGCTTTTCGATTGATATGCAACTGATTCGTTACCTTGGTTCTACGGCTAACAGTTTGATTTCAGTGGTTTCCCTCCACTTATCCTTTGTTTATCCACCTCGAGTTCACGCGGCCAACCACTCCTATCAGGATTTTGGTCCAGATGCCGGACTTCAATTTTTCAATCTTCCCTTTCTTATGACCTCGAAATTATGGAACACCTTTCCGTATTTTTAATAACTTAATTTTCTCAAAAAGATGATCAACAAATTGTTACACCAATTACCTTCCGTCTTGCAGAATGCATCGACTATGGGAATTACTCCTTTTGTTGTAAATAACCTGTGTAATTAACAAACTGCGTTCGGTTAGGTTACCCTGATACTGCCCTCAGCTTTCTGCTTCTCTAAACTCCTTCATCCAAACGAGTAACCCAAAGACAGCCACAGAAAGCGCCACGCGAAAGTGCAAAGTTAACGTGTGTATGAAGTGAACTGAACAGTACAGAAGTAAGCAATGTGAATAAAAGGAATTAGCACGCGGCGAACAGTTCGAAAGAGCGAAACATTCTGAGAATAAACTCACCTGAACATCGACTGGCTTGTGGAAAATTTTCTTTGCAAAAGCAACCAACGTGTTTTGTTGTTCCAGGATAAAATAGTTAGACAAATCTTGTAGGTAAATCCCGCGAATAGTATCCAGCACAATAAGGGCAAGTTCAGATGAACATGCAGACAGAAAAATCGACTGCAATACATCAAACGCGTGTATGTTGCGAACACTCTTGTTTGCTGTTAAAGGAAACCAATCGAGAGGGAATGGAAAAACAAAAGATTTTCAAACCACAGTGAACCTCGTCATCGTAGTTTAAATCATCACACCCAAATGTACATCCAGTATACATATTACCATTATATACATAACATTTAACACGCGGCTGAGTACTGTGTGCCAAACAAACCACAGTATAATGATCTTTATAATAAAGGAGAAAGTTTGTGATCTGCTAGTGGACCGAACACTAACAGGTTGTCGCGGTCAACACGGATGAATTTTCTCGGGGAATTCTACACCGAAAACTTCGGTTAGTATAAGTGGTAGCCACTCCATTTAATGCAAGAATGTACACCACATGCACATCGAACCACAAAATAACATCAACTGATCTTGCGTCTTCAACGATTCACATCCCGGACAATATTTTCAGGTAATTAGGACGAAAAGGGTTATAGACCGAATAATGTATTTATTTGTACAATAGTATGAGACATGAAGAAATCGGGTGCATGAAATCCATAATGATCAAGTTCAACTGAAATATATAGAGAGGAAGGGTAACTTTCTAAACAGTTGTAACCCTCAACAAACTCACGCTCTCTCCCCCAGAAGGCTCTATGCTCTACGGAGGGTCGGCGAAGCCACATTTGTGAAATGATTCTAACAGAGAGCGTTTGCTAAATGTTCTGCGGGATGAATTTTACGTAGCATCTTTCAATGCTTAGGATATTTTCATTGAAGGGAAAATCCATTAACCTATTCTATTAAGGTGTTGGGTTTTAAACCGTACAGGTGTTACCTTCAGCAGAATTCATTTAGATAAACGCTCTAGTGTCGCACCCTGCTAAAAGCGTGAGCGGTTGACTGCGAATAACCTTGCTAATATCTCCAAAACATCTTTTTCCGACCGCCACCTGACTCGGCAAACATCGCACGCCGTGGCAACCTATCTGATGACAAGCGTAGCTCACGTCCAAAACAACGTAATCTATGGAGGCCGACTACTTCCTCCAGCGAACGACTGAAATTGCCTAAAACTCTACTGCTCGTCAGGTTTTCCCACCAGACGTGTGCAATGCGACGTAGACAGTGATGTTCGAACAGAGACAACTTTCTTATCCTGTTCCCGTAATGGTCAAGTTTCTGCATCGCAGAGCAGGACTGGTCCAATTGCTGCAGCAGCACTAGTCTAACAGCTGGAGAATACACTCGAACCTTAACAAACAGCCAGGTATCGTAGCACAGCCACAGACGTCTCAAGTTGACCAATCCCAATCGAGCCTTCTGTATGCGAGCTGACACTTTATCCAGGATGCGTCCGCCAAGTGAGAAGTAGCTGCCCAAATTGCAAAATTTGTCTACTACTCTACTACTTCCCCAGTTAGAGTGATTATGGGTACTGGACCAACCCAGTCTGGGAGCCACATATCACACATTGAAGGTGCAAAACGCATACCGAATATGGCTACACTGGCACTCAAACTTTTCAGAAAAGCTTGCAACTTACTTGGATCTTCACTTAGTAGCACAACGTAGTCTGCATTTTCAAGATCAGACAGTCTGCCACCCGAGAGTGATCTGATACCGCAACCATCGCACAAGAATAGGATAGCATGGTCCGTGTTCACGGGTGTTGACCGGTAGGAGCGGCGGTCTTTAATGGATTTTCGCCAGCGGTGGCTGATGATGATGTGGTCGCTGTGATCTCCATGTAAGGCGGTGCCGTTTTTCGTGCGAGAAGTTCGTGCTTGACCGAAACAGTCTGTGATCTGTGCATGAGACTGCACCTTGACGTGGTGTGACTCAACGAGCTACACAGGATGGTTTTTGTCGAACCAAAGATCTAATCGTGCCTGGAAGGTCAATGGGCAGAGGTCAGACAAAGTCCAGACTCCTGGTCCTCCAGGTTGGGGGTCCGACTTGAGTCGGTGTCTAAGTCGGTCACACGTGTTGTGAGAATAACTGATCCAAGTTATTGGGCCTCCAATCCGCCNTTACGGCTGCCTTGCGATTAGGCTCTTGTCAGAACTAAAGGCTTGGGCTGAGAACCCTAATCGTTCTCCTGCTTAGTGACTGGACACTGGCACTACCCGCCCATGAAGCTCCATAGAACACACAAACAAAATATTTTCATACTGCACCGGTCTTCGCGCAGGATAATCAGGACCGCGCTGCCCATTCCACCGAACGGGTGGGCAATGATAAGTGGGCTACTGCTCAGATATTGCTACCTTTGTTCAACTCTTTTTCTTCCATACCCAACCGTATCCCCTTACCCCTTCTTCCGACCCGTGATATTCCCTCAGACAACTTGGTCGTCACTCGCAAAAGGTCGTTGACAAATAGCACTGTAACTAGTTTTCCTGTAAACAAAGTGCAGATTCTGAAGCCTCGTCAACTTCTCAATCTGGGAGCTTTCAACATGAGAACTCTTATGCAGGTGGGTCAACAGGCGTATCTTGCGCGTACAATGAAGTCTCTAGAAATCGATGTCTGTTGCGTATCGGAGACACGAATTCAGGATCC